AATTAAAAAAAATTAAAAAGTTCTCATTTTTTTCTGTGTAATTTCATTAATTCAAAATTTTATTATAATTTAATATAAATTTAATAATATATATTTTTTTAAAGATACTATTCTATTAGAACTCAATAATTATCCTAATTATATTTTAGATTTTATATTTAAAATGAGAAGTTTATCTTGTATTTAGTTATATTATCTACAGTTAATTACACGAATTCAAATATATAACTTAATAAGTTGTACTTATGCACAATTTACTTGTAATCTTGAATTTTTAAGTAATAAATTAATAAACAGTACTTCATCTATAAAAGATGGATTTTAAGATTTTTTGAAATACTTAATAATATATTTAACAATATATAGATACGAACTTCACATTTCTTAATTTGCTTATAACCTCATTTGATCAAATTTATATTTAAGCATCAGAGAAGATGCATTTAGAAATATCGTTACATAAATGTTACATCTTAGAAACGTAATGTCCTTGAAATTTCTATATCAAAAGGCGTACATGATAAGATTTGTGTCACTTTATCAACTGACAATAGGATGATAAATGACACATTTTATTGGTGTTTGGCCAAAACACTCGGGTAATCGTTACGTCTTCTCATATGAAAAGTTGGGTAAATCGTCCCTCCATCATATTGTTTCTTTACGTGTTTGGTTGAATTAGGTCAAAATATATAATGTTAGTAAAGATCAACTTGATACAAAGTTTAGCAAAATATTTCACATGCGGTAAAATATATAAAATACTCGTTATAAGATAAAATAAAGAATGGTAAAATGCACAAAATAGCAACATAATTTCATAAATTTTTTTATTACAACATTGTACTTTCAATTTTTCTTATTACGACAATGTACTTTCAAGCTATTTTTTATTAGAACATTGTACTTTGAATAGTTTAACATTGGATTAACTTTTTGACTTAAACTTACCCACTATACCATCAAGTTTCCATGTCATCTCATTGTCCACATAGGCTGTCACTACAATGAAATTGGGTTTATAGGATACTCTCAATCTTTAAGTGTCCCAATAGACCGTTTTATAGGACTTAATTTATAGAACCAAAATATAAAGCGTCCTATCTAAATGCGCTGTAATAAGTTTATATGACGTTTTTGGGCGTCTTAACAAGTTTTTAAGAACATTTTTAATACAAAGTGTCGTATTAACAACTTTATAGGACAATTTTGAGAAATTGTCCTATAAACTCAAATTTTTTATAGGGCACTTGTTTTTATAGGACATTTTTTCAAATAGTGTCCTATAAAGTTGATAATAGGACGCTTTATATTCAAAGTGTCATAAAAAAACTTATTATCGACATCAAAAAACGTCATATAAACTTAATACAACACCATTAGATAAAACACTTTATTTTTTTGGTTCTATAAACCAAGTCCTATAAAAAAGTCTATTAAGACGCTTAGAATTTGGGAGTGTCCTATAGACCCGATTTTGTTGTAGTGTGTCCACATGTATTATATCGTTGACGTAACATTTCATATTATAACATTATATTTTCAAACTTATTTTATTATAACATCAACGGTTCGTATTATAATGTTATACTTTTAGTTTTTAATATTTTATTATTTAGACATTGTATATTTAATCAAATATGCATACCTAAATTTAGTATCCATTTCTAATCCTAAATTTTAATTTAAAATTTAGTATCCCGAGATTATATCAATTATACTGGTAACCTTTTGGTTTGAATCAAAATGATATGACACAAGTTACTAGATTTTCATGTCACATCATTGTCCACCTGAAACTTTTTGCTCACGTGACATCTCTTCTTACAATACTATATTTTGAAAAATATTTGACTTTTACATATTATTTAATAAATATATTAATGAATTAAATAATTTTTACATTATTCATAATATATCAATATCAAAAAAATAATATATCATATTTTAATAAATATTTTACTTTAAAATATTTAAATTTCCATGCAATTTAATAAGAAAAAATTTATAAAAAAAATTAAAATGTTTTTTAAATCATAACAACGAAAAGTGAAAATCATTAAAAATAATTTGAAAGAGTTTTATTTATTTATTTTAGTTATGTCATCAAAATGATGTATCATATTCACATCACCTTATTTAAGCCAATAAAGCAAAAAAATGGTCAACCGGTTTAAAAGGTAGATGTTACTTATTGTTATAGTGGATAGATTTTTCAAAGTATGATATCCTAATAAAAAATAATTTGAAAGAGTATTGCTGTAATAAGAAAAAATAAAAGTACATTGCTATGATAAATAAATTTATGAAAATAGTTTGCTATTTTATACATTTAATCCAAAAAAAATATAAAAAAATAGATGATGTATCAAAAAGTTATTATCTGAAGACGAAAATGTATTAAAATATAATAAAGTTGGTTTTAATTTATTTAGAAACATATAATTTTTTTTAATGCGAATAAGCGTTCTTTAAAGCTTAAAGCATTGAATTGAAAACCATATGTTGAGAGATTAAACCAAATAACTTTAGATAACTAATTTACTTTTAGATGATTTTTCTAACATCATATTTTAGATAACAAACATACTAGAAATTCAGAAAAAAAAAACATCAAAAATTAAACCTAAGGGGCCATTTACCAAACATTTACCCAGTAAGTGCTTATCGGTAAAATTTAACACTACTATTTACTTACCGGGTAAGATTTTAGTCTACCAAAACGATATTGTATGCAACAATTTACCCGATAAGCGCTTACCATGGTAAGAGTCGTCGCCCTCACTTACCATGTAAGACTCTTGGTTCATGTCTCGCTCTTACAGGGTAAGATTCTTAATCCTTACCATATTCATCCGGTGAGGTAGTGTGACTTGGTAAGAGTTAGCAAACAAAATCAGAAATTTAGAATCTTGACATCAAAGATTGAAACAGTATACCTGGCTTTGGTTTTGAGTCTGTGAGTTGTCCAAGTCTGAAATGCAAAGTAAAAGAGAAGAGATTAAATTGAGAAGTAATAAGCAGATTTGGACGTGATTTTATATTTGTGGTTGTTGTCGTCAGAATCGAACAAAAATAGGCGTTGTTTGATGACGTAATAAACAGAAATCGTACCTGAGATTTAAAAAGTCTTGTTGTTGTAACTGTCATTGGAAAATAAAGTGAAAGAAGATGAGAAGAAGTTGAATCGACAAAGATGATTTAGAAAGAAGCCAAGGATTTTCAATTTCTTTTCTTTCCGTAGATACCAGATGTATCATACGAATATTTCAGGGCCCTGCCCGACAAAACTTAATGGCACACGCCTTGGATAAAACGTTTTTAAAGGGTTTGAATTTGAAATCTATAATGTGTTTGGATTTAGAATTCCATTCTCTTTAAATAATTTACAAAAAACAAATTATAAAATAATTAAAGTACTTTTTTATAATTGAATATTTTAAAATATTATTACATACAAATTTTATAAAATCCTGTTAAATACCAACCATCATCGTGTTATACAAATTCTTATGTTTGAGAGATTCAAATCCATAAACTAAATAAAAAAGAAAAAAAAGAAATAGTATTTAAATTGCTCAAATTGAGAAAAGAAGTTTGCGTAAGAAGCATTGCATATTCCGAAGACTTCAAAAAGCCACAACTAAAATGCCATAAAGAAGTCAACTATATTATATGATAAAATATTTGACAAAAATTCTTAAAAATCATTTTTTATGCATGAAATACTATTTATTAATGCATGTTACTTAAAACTCAAGATTACTAGTAGATTGTGCGTAAGTACAACTTATTAAAGCTCCATATATGAATTTGTGTAACTAACTGCAAATAAACATAATCAAATACAGGATAAACATCTCATTTTGAATATAAAAAATCTAAAATATAATTAAGATAATTATTGAATTCTAATAGAATACTTAATTTTTATCTTTATAAAATATTATAATTATTAAACCAAAAATAAATTATTTCATTATTAAATTTAAATTAAATTATAATTAAAAAAAATAAATTAAAGAAATTACATAAAAATGAGAACTTTTAAATGGTTGATTTGATATTAACATTGATATATTTTTTTTAAATTTTTATGATATCTTCAAATTTATATTTTATTTAAAAATAAAATCATTATTGCTTTCTTAAAAACACATAAAATCGTATTATAACATCAACAGAGACAAATAATAAAATAAAATATTAGAATCGAGATGTATCTTGCTGCATTGCACGAGTACCCTTCTAGTGTGTGTATATATATATATATATATATTGAGGAATTAAAAATGTATATAATAAAATCTTCTGTATATTTTATTATTTATTTTATAATACACACAAAAGACATATATCAGTGCGTAGTTTTTTACAAGATCATAGCCCTTGATCAGACAGCCTATGGTTCCTCTGAAGAGTTGCCTCCGAGTACTCGGATTCTAATAAGAGTCTCTGCACTCGAATTTGTTTCTATGATAGATGATGAGAGCCTCTCATTGTGTTTTCTCTTATGTACCGGTTGTAACTGTTCTCAAATCTTATCCATTAACAGTTATGACTGTTGTACAGTCATGTCTTAACCGTTTGACCGCTTGCAAGTAATGTGTGAACAAGAATCAAGATGCATATAAGAACTTAATCTTAATTTATAGTCTGATTCAAGTACTTTGCTCAACCAAAACATGGTAACCATATAAAAAACACCATCAACAAACTACAACTTTTAGACCGAACCACATAGAGCGGTTTGAAAGAAAACAGAAGAACAAAGAAGAAAAAATCTGTATAATAGAAATGGTGGTCTTTCTGCAACAGAACTCAACTACTATTACAACACCATGTCATAGCTCTTTGGTTGGTTACCTATATGTCATTTACAGTTGCCTCAAATATTTTTTAGTAGAAAGAAAACATAAAGAACAAATCAAATCAATGTTTCAAAAGAAGCCGAATCCTTTTCCTCTTATTCGCTTATAAATTCATGTACAGAAGCTGAAAGCAGTGATGCACATTTGGATTTGATTCATCAATCGCGGACTATTGTTTGCGGGGTCCATTTGAGATGCAGAGTCAACTTTCCGGCTTTACATCCATCTAAGTTGAATGTCTCTGTGAATTCACCTTCTAATATGACCCTAGTAAGTGTCATGATGCATTTACCCATTTTATCCTGATACAACACCAAAACCGGATAAAGATTTGAAAAGATGGTCAAGAGAAAGACATGTTGCGTGGAACATATTCTGAACATATACATTATATCAAATATGTATGTGTGTATGTACATATATCATATATAATGTTTTTGTCAAAAAAACAAAGAAAGCTACTATATCTTCAATGGTAATGTTATAATTGGTCCCTATTGAGTATTTATTCATTAATGAATGGAAAATGGACTATAATTAAAGCAGCAGTGACAGTGAGGTGTACCTTTCCAAAAGTATCATGATCCCACACTTCACACATTAGCAAATCACGTAATCCATCTTCGATAACAAAGTCAAATGTTTGATTCCATACTGGATTCAAGGTGTTATTTATAACCTACAAAAAGAAATCATCATCACAAAGGAACATATCGAATCAAAAGCATCATCTAAAAAATTTAGTGAAAGAGGAACTCTATAACAGTTGAAATGAGATACCAAGACAACTTGAAAAACACTACAAACTTAAGAGTCCTTTCGTTAAATAACCTTCTGACAATTTTCTTATAAATCCATAGCTTCTAACAGGTTTGAGAATGCCACTTTCATATATAAAATGACACTAAACTTGTTGTTAATAAACTTACCCTGGTCTTCAATTTCTGTTCTGTTTTCTTCATCATAAGTACAACATAAGGATCACTTTTTCCCAGAAGATCGACGGCTGGCAAATCTTGAGCTGACATGACTGTTACAGAGAGAACTCCTCTTACTATGACTTCTTTTTTCTTTTGTGCAGCAAGTTTTGCAGGATCCACATCTGTTTCACTAATTCCAGATTTAAGGGCCTTCTCTAAATCAGTTAATCTAAAGTCAGGGTCAAATGGATTCTGTAATCCAGACTCTGTGCCAAAAGGACAATACAGGAGCTCCAAATGCACCTAAAAACCATATAAAAAGAAATATATATTTCATTTGCCAAAATGAAACCAAAACAACTGCTAAGAAAATGTGTTGGAATGGATGGAGAAGAAATACCATGCCCCTGTTCTTATTATCTCTTTGGATTACCAAATCCTTGACCAGTTTGATCCATATATCTTTTACCTTTCCAGGCTCAAGATCCTTTATAGCCACTTGACCGCAACCAATTAATTCAGAAGCTTGGACTCCTTCATCATCAAAGACTCTTATTGTAAAGTGTTGAGTAATAGGATCTTCAACAGTGAACTCAAAATGCTCATTCCATATCGGGTTTAGTTGGTTGTTCTATAGAAATAATCAAAAATTACATTGATATCAAGGTAGGAATAGAAAACAAACTTGATAAGAAAATTCGGCCTGCTTACAATTGTCTTGCTGCTTTTCATTCTGTCACGGAGTGGGCGTACAAATAAAGTGGCATAAGGATCAGATTTTCCGATAATGTCTTTATTTGTCAATTCTTTTGCTTCTATGAGCTTTACCTCTAGTATTCCAGCAGGCTTCAACTCCAAGTCACTACAACAAACATGTTAAGGTATGAGAGAAAAAATAAAAAGGAAGGCACCCATGGTGCATATCGTAACACAAGATATTGGTTGGCAGATTTTCGACGTCGATGTGCTTTGACTAAAGAAGAAAGGTTTAATCATGCACATGCCCAACTCAGGAATGTTATTGAACGTTCTTACGGTGTCTTGAAAGCGAGATTTCCTATCTTAAAGCAGATGGCTCCCTTTCCATTTACAACACAAAGAAATATGGTAATTGCTTGCTTTGCGATACATAATTTTATCAGAAAATATAATATTCAAAACCAGTTGTTTATGGAGTGCAATGATGATACTATATTTAACAATGAAGAAGAAGTCGAAGAAAATGGAGAAGAAGAATTGGATATTTCCCAATGGGGTGCTAATAGCACTCAATATATGGCTACTTTGAGAGATGGAATTGCAAATAGTTTGGTCAATAATGTTTAAGTTTTAAGTATTTGTGTTCGAACTTGGCTACTCTTTGTTTGAAACTTGGATTTTAAAGTATTTTATGAATTTATGTTTTGATTTTTGGATGATATCAATGAATTTATGTTTTGATCTTTAGATGATATCAACGAATTTATGTTTAAATATATTTTTTTTCTTCCAGAATTATCATTTGGCTTAAAAAATGAACAACAATTATTAAACAATGCGTAGTTCATACTCGGGGGTAAATTGGTCATTTATGTTATTCAAATAGAAAAGTAAACAATAACATAAATTTATGCAGACAGACAAATTTATCCATACAAGACTTGCTAGAAAATTTGGTACACAACCCCTAAGGCTCCTCAGATTTGCAAAAATTTGGAGGAAGTCATTCTACATACACATTTTCTTGCATTTTGCGAAAAATCTGTATTTATGAATCCGGTCCATGACCATGTAAAAAGATACTAAATAGATACATGAAACACTGTTATGGGAATTTTGACGTTCCAACCCATTATTTTTCTTGAGTCCTTTATATGACTTCTTTGAGACTAGACCTCTGAGTAGAGTACTTGAAGACGGACAACTGGGTTGCAGATAGGTATGGGGACTGTAGGTGTGGAGAAGGGAGTTGGACAGGTTGGGGTTATAGTAGAGGGCTGGTAGTTTAGGCTGGGGATGTGTTTTTGCTTACTTGTGCTGTGTGGGTTTTGCTTGTTCTTACCTTTTGTGTGTTTTCGTTGTACCTATTAGTTAATTTTTCTCATGCTTCATTCACCATATCCAAGTCTCTACTTCTGCTATCTGTTTGCTCACACTATAGCACATGTTGGGGGTCTTCACATAAATGACCGCTCTATTCTTTGGAGTAGAGGTCAGGTCTTTAGTTTAATGGGACCGTTTAATTTTCCTTTTTTTTGCACTTCATGCTTTAATGTACTTATAAAATTTTCGTCAAATAGTTATTCAACTAAATACGTTCTGAAGTCAAAATGTAGTCTTTTGCTTCTTAGAAGCCTAAAGCAGGTAACATTTCTAAACTTATGATGTACCTATAATCGCCTGCTATTATGGGTATAACGACTCGAACTGGCCATGTTATTGAATCTTCAACTGCATCCTTGATTGTTTCCTATATAAGAGAAGTCATGAAAATTACATTAGTATTCCGTTCGTAAAGGGGCTATTGCATAAATTTGCAATGTACTAATTAAAATGTTTGAAAATTAGCCAGATTTCTAGAATACCCTTCAACAATGACAAAGTTGGGGACAATCTTATGTACTAAAAAATTACTATAATCAATATTCTGTAAAGACGCCAATGCATAATTTGCAAAGAATGGGGGATTTGTAATAAATAGGGGAGCTCAACAAACTCACATGTACTGTATGCTGTAACTAACTTAGAACAGAAGAAAGAAACAGATAAAGAAGATGACAGCTCAAACCTCTATGGCTTCAGACACCCCAGGAAGTGCTGATAGATCTCCACCAATAACTTTAAGTGTGAAATCGAGTTGTTTCTGTGCATGAAAAAATATGAAACAAAGCAATCAAAGAAAGGTTGCCCAATCCACTGTATATCATTTGAAGAATATTTTCTTTTATAAATACATATAACTGAGTTACAAAAGAACAATGACAGTCATGGCACCACCTTTTCTCTCAATGAAAATAGAACTGCTCCAAAACAAGGAAACTCAGCAACTAATGGTTTGAAAATGAGTCTGAAAAGGCCCGTAAATGCGATATTTTTCACCTGTTGAAAAATAGAACAAAAAAATATTAACAAGAAACACTTTATGATGACATATGAGTTGCTGAATGAAGGAAACTCATCAACTATCTATAAGTAATTAGAGGCCATTCATGATTAGCTATATAAAATAGAACATATGGGGACTTGAGTAAAATGATAATTACAAGATGGGTTATTGCGCTAAGCTTCAATGAAGTGAACAACAAATAAATGAGTAATCAATATCTTTGATTTGTGGAAGAAGCTCTAATGAAATGACAGAACTCTGCCTATTACCCTAAGATTATACCAGCTGTTCAGGATATTTTCCATCGTAGTCGGCAACATGATTATTTTTAAGCTGAAGGAGTAAGTGAGGACAGGTTGACATAAAGATATTGACTTTCCAAACCATTGCTTTTGGCTTTCATCTTAAACCATCTTTCTAGTGAAAATGCAAAAAGAAACAAAACAGTGGATATTCAAGAATGAGCAGATTATGAACAAAAAGTGCCAAGTAGTTGGTTCTTTTTTGTTTCCACAAATTTGTCCAATTATAGTGCTTTCACATATACATATTAAACATAGATGTATATTAAAAGCAAGTTAACAGAACCTGTATCGGTAAAGCCACACCAACTCTGGTCAAAATATCAAGAACAACATTAGGGTTTCCATCCCATTGCATCTCCAATTCCATAGTAATTTCCCCAGGATCACCTTCATTCACAGAAACTCCTACAAGACATCAACAAAGCATATGATCCATGAACACCAGATCAATCAACTTGACAACATATGTCATCTCATAATTTGTTGAAAGAAGCCACTCTATTTATACTCCTTCCGTGCCACGGAAGTTGCAACCATTTCCATTTCGGGATGTGCCGTATGAAAGGAGAAGGATGGACAGGAATAGAAGGGCATCTATGGCAAGGTGGCAAATGAGGCTCGGAAGGGAAGACACAGGTGTTGACAGGGAATAGATGAAAATGTGAGGGGTGTGACTCTGACAGTGGTGTTAGTAGAAATAGTATCATGTTCTACGAGATTTTATAAAGTTCAAAGCATTGATGCAAAGTTCAATAATAAGCAAGCCAGGACGAAATGATGAAGAGTTAATGCCAATTACTTAACAATGAATTGGATTAATTGAGGAAGATAGTTGTGTGCAGAATAAGTTTATCTTTTGGAAAGAGACAAGAGAGGACATATATAAGTTTTCAAGAATCTGCTGGATTGAATTAAAGGGAGTCCCATTACATTCATGGAGCAAAGAAAACATATGTCATGTGGTACACAGATTCAAAGAGGTAAATGCAGTAGAAGAAGAAACAGCAGAAAATGAAGAATATCTTACTGGAGACATCCTCATTAAGCAAGATTAATGTCTATGAGGAGGTATGTGTGAATAGTAGTATGTATAATGTGAAAATAATGCCTCCTTCCCCGAAAAAATGCAATGCTTCTATTTTGGTTTTGGGTTGTACAAGAAAATATAACATTTCTTTGTGGAAAGATTAATTTTCAAATTTGCGTACTTCTTTGGCAGTGAATAATGAGAGATCGACAGTGGTTCTCTCTATTTTTTCTTATTAAAATGTTTGAAGATTTAATCAATTTGGGGGTATGTTTTGGGATGGAGCAGCTGATTTTGATGTTTAGCAGCTAAGGTAGCTATAGAGCCTTGGGATTCATTGTTAGTTTGTAGTCATTGTTGGGTTTTAGAATATATTTCAGATGTTGTAAATGGTGCTGGTCACATCCTTTGGGTGGTCTAACTCAAGTATGAATTTTGGTCCATCAATTTTCCTATACCAAACTGTAGAAGTTGACAATTAAGAATAGATCAAATCCATTAGCAATTGAACAGACCTGTAAATTGTGGAGCCACAGTACCAAGGGTCAACTTTGAAAACTTCATAGACGACAAAATGATTGGCTTGTATTGCTCGAGTATCGGCTCCACAGAGCTTCTTATTAGATCGGATGCTGCCTATGCTAGCATCCAAACAATAGCCAAAAATAGATGGTAGCAATTTAGGAATGTTCTTCGAGTAATTCCCAGAAGAATTAAATTAACATAACTAAAAGATAGAAATACATGTACCTCATCAACATATGGCCAGATCTTGTTCAATTGGAGATTAAGCCAATTTAACTGTAGTTTACAACAAAAAAGGTATTAAACACCTAGACCAATTAGAAACTTTGGATACCAATTATCTGTCATTTTGCTACAAAACATAATATAACAAAAATATATAATAAATAAAATGTAACTCAACTTCTGTCTCTTTGCAAAGACAACCCAAGGAGGATAATACTCTCCTGGAAGAAGCTTTCTTGAATCGGCCACTGTCATCCTTGCAAAAGCCGCGATGATTGCAGCCTAAAATAACAAAATTATGCAGAAATTTGGACACGTTCAAAACCAAAGAAAGATCCTCTATCAACCAACGAAAACAGTGTGTTTAAAATTGTTCTTTCATGGGAGAATTATGAGTCTTGAGCATGTGACAGACCTTTACAACTAGAGTATCACATTGCGGTCATGTGATACGGATTATGTGTTTGAGCCATTAACATGTCATCATAAGAACAAGAAAATGGAATGAAATCTTGTACGAATACAAAGATATACCAAATCAGCACGACGAGCAGATCGAACGATCTGGTAACGAGCAATGCAGACTATGAATCCGATACCAAATGCAACACCAAAAAAGAGACCGGCAAAGAAACCCATCTTCGTTTTTACTTTATGAACACAACCCAATTGATTACTCTGTCATCTGTTGAGTTTTGTTGCAAGCTTGGCCACGGGATTTCAATGGCAGATGCCATTGGATAGACTTTTTATTGGTTCAGTCATTTTGTCGAACAGATTAAAGGCATCGAATAAAGATTGTGCACATCAACAATTTTCTTTCGTGTAGGGGAAAGAAAGATTCATAGGGAGAGAGAAAGAGTAACAGAAATTTGATTGGGAAGTTGGTAAAAAGTGGGGACTAAATGGGTAACGTAGGAATCAAACAAGTCATTTGTTTAATATGCTAATGCTTAATCAATTGGGCGTTTAGAAACATAAAAATGAAAATAAATGAAAACATCATCACATTATATTGTCTCTAACAGGATATTCAAATAAACTGATTAATTGGTTTTTCCTTGTCTAATATGCATATATTTTAAGTCTTACAACAATTTTAAATTGGTGATAAGAAATTGTAAGTTATTGAACAAGTGGCTTTTTGACAATTGATGAATGGTTTGGTACAGACTATGTAAAACCCAAAAATTTCGAGGAATAAATAATTTATCTTTATTATCATTTTTATTTTATATATATATATATATATATATAT